TATTTCAAGTAGAGGAGCAAATCAATATAGAATGGGAAGTTACCGAACGTAAACTAATTCACCACACCTTATAGTAGTTTGACTGTGAGGTAACACATAAAACATGTACGAGGACAATAAAGGGCCATTGGACCTGCTATTAAACTGATGCCTTTACTAGTGAGGTAAGATTCGATTTAGATAAGAAAAATGTATCACTTCATTTTGCAGTTGAAACCTGCCCATGGGGAGTAGAGTGAACATGCTATACCAATTAGCCGACGTTTCTGATAAACCTAACAATAACGACCCTTGGATCGTAGGAACTCTCTCGCTGACCGAGGTCATACGGACCTGGAGTCAGAAGTAACCTGCTGGGAGTGAAATCGTGTAAAGAAAAACCATGACATGACATGGCTTGATACACAATGTTCCATAAAGTGAATGAAGATGGATCAATAGTTTCCACCGTGTGCCAGGTGGCGCTCCTGTGCTTTAGGTTGTTACAGCCGCGAAAATAGAAGACAACTTTCTTGTTTGTCGGATTGTGAACTGAAAAATAAACAAATCAAACGAGGTGCTGTAACGTATGGCATAAAGTAGAACCTAATATTTTTGGAGTTAATATACGATATGGCATGTCATTCAAAGGGTTTGATAAGTCTATTGTGCAAAGTTTACATGACATTTGGTTCTTTTGAAACACAATAAAGAAATAGAAGGATGGATAACTGACGTAAACACATAAAAAAATCTTATATAGAAATAATTCTAAGAAATAATTATAATAAATAGTCGTTTATAAATTGGATCTGAATAGTATGTTACATAATGTATTATATACATTTGTTTTCCATTAATCATATAAATAAATTATACGTACTTAATATCAATATAAGACTAAAAAGTGGAAAGATGTTGTGGTTTCCATTCATTACCATGGTGATATATAAAAATCTAGAGTTTACCGCCCAACTTAATTTCATGTAAAGTTCGGCACATTAAGTTCTGAAACATCACAATGTGATACGAGACGTCATGCAATGTGAAGGGAAGTACAAATCAGGAACTACTTAGGGGGATAATCATTGTTTTGCGAAGAGATCGTAGTCTAATGGTTAGATTGCCATAAGTTACTGGAATTACGCATTTTTATACAAGAAGATTTGTTTAATTTAATCCAAGCATTTTTGTTAATCCTCTTGTTTTACATAATCAAAGTATGAGTATTAAAAATCCGTTGTAACGTTTCCGGTTACACAAGAAAACAGGATAATGATCAGGATTAAACATAATCAAGATTCGTGTAATCTTTCTCATGCTTTGAGATAATGTGTTTATTATCATGACATTTATTTTTGTAAATCAGCACACCAAGCCAAGTATAATACTCATGGCTGGTGAGTTTAGCCAATCTGTCCTGATATTACCTGGACAGATTAGGTTAACGATTGTTTATCGGTAATATCAATATCTGTCAATGTTGACCAGTCGACACTCATACATTAAAGACTGATACATTGTGTTACATTAAACTATGGTATTTGGTATTTTTTTCACATTGATTAAAAACATGTATTTTCATCAATGAACCAGTTTTCGTAATTTCCAATCTCTGAATGCTTTTTCACTCGAGTGTTAAAAATGACGAATTAGGTTAATGTAAAACTATATGGCAAACGCTTCCCAACCCAGTAATTGGTGAATTTAATTCTTCTAAATGTAATCAACAACATTGATTTCTTCACTATATCTTCTACTATATATTCATATATAGTATATGTTTTAAGACGGTCGTTATATCCTCTTTTTAAAATCACCTACTTCACATGGGCACCTATTCATATTCATACCTTATATGATAACTAAATATAGTCTGTGTTTATATATAGAATAACTATGTCGAAGTACAGATTCAATCCTTCATTATATATAAATATATATATACAGTCTGTGATAATTAAATGCAGTCTGTGTTCATACATAATGTATATATAATTACCGTACCAGAACAAAAGTTATAAAAAAGTTTAACAGAGCAAGATATTCCTGGGGTTTTTTCATATGAACATTTCCCCGTTCTTCCTGGTTACATACAGGGCGTTGTTTATGATATATTTCTGTGAAAATACCTTGTATTGAAAATATATCGTTATAGATTTTTGACTAGACAAGGAATAGACAAGGAAGCAATGTTATAAACTTCACAGAAGGAATCTAATACCCTACCAACACTATGACGATATGTGGAAATAATTCAAACCCATCAAGGGAATTATCTCAAGTTATATAAAATAGGAAGTTACTTGGATTAATGTCCGAGTGATAGATGCTTAATCCGGGCCGCTGTATCCGGGCCGCTGTATCCGCTGTATCCGGGCCGCTGTATCCGGGCCGCTGTATCCGCTGTATCCGGGCCGCTGTATCCGCTGTATCCGGGCCGCTGGCCGCTGTATCCGGGCCGCTGGCCGCTGTATCCGGGCCGCTGTATACCAGTGTTTAGGAAAGGATGGTTCTCCTATAGTAATAATGGTATGTAGTTTCATCTATTTTATTGGCACATAAGAATGTTTTCATAGAAAGTCATATTTTGTAAAATTACTTTTTTTTGTTCGGACAGCTTAAAGTCTCCTATCTGATGAAAAAAAAATACATATTTATTTTGTTATTTTATCGTTGTTAGTTGTCGATTTTAATTTATGTAATCAAGTTTTATACTTTCTCCCTCCATTTGTTTACCTGTAAAGAATAAATTCAGGTAAATATTTTACAGAAATATACACGTATGACGCTTTTTAGTGGCGGCACTTTAGTGACTTTTTTCTGTTTTGTTTGTTTGTTTGTTTGTTTGTTTTAATAAGCTCAATGGGATGTAAGTATCGCCCGTCGTGCGCCATTAATGTCTTACATTCCAGATTAAAAGATCTAGCATTAAAATATTTTGGCCTTGGGCTTGCTTGGGTGGAGGTCTACAAACCTTGTTCAAATGATTCACCTTGACCAATTGCAACACGCAGTCTTCAAACAATTTTTTCGAAAGTGCCATACTGGTTAGATTACTGATACTTGCCCTATAGGTTGTCGAAGGAGAGTTATCATAGCATTCAAATCAGGTACAATAATATTTACTGCAGTGAAACGTGCTTAAATCTTCCAACAGTTCTTTTTTTTTGGAAATTCAGAAAATCGACAATATATTATGTTTTGTTTGTTGCTGGTGTTAAGAGCTATCAATTTTGATCGAATAAACGACATTTACACACTGTTAACGTTACCTTAAGTCGTTAACGTCTAGCGTAAGGACATATCGTCTGTAGCTTGCTGGTATACAGGGATGATTAAGTAAAGGATCTTGTTCGTTCCACTTTTAGGATTTCATGAGTAAAATATGACATTTTCCCCAACAGAGGTCGATAGCGTCTGGACTACAGATATTGACCGGTAGTGTAATCTTATTTCTTAAGTTGACACGAAAGCAACACCTGGTCACCTTATTCTGAACTAAGAGACGTAAGAAAATACAGGAGTGGAAAATAGAGAGAAAAAACTAAAGGCCCCAGATGTTTCAATGGAGGATATAAACGCCATCTTAACAAAAGTACATGTATGTGCAGTGGACACCGGCTAAGTCGCCTTTTAACGTTTATAATACGGAATAAAACAGATAGAACTATTTTCCCGCAGCTGCAGGAAACGAAAGAGTATGCGCATCGGGACAATATCATCGACGTCATGACACATGTGCCCGAGAGATGTATCCTAGTACACGTGACCGATAAATAACTATATGTACGCAGATATGTAGACCGTGCACTTAACTCTCCTGGTAGTGATATTTGAATATATATATATATATATATAGTTGTTTTTTTTAATTTTACAACTCCTCGCTTCAGGTTATATGAAAAATACATTAAAAGAACTGAATTGCAAAATTAGATGGGTTCTGTTTTAGTGTGTTTTCACTAAAAATATTATTATTCTCTAACTACATCAGAATTATTCTTTTGAACAAAGTGACATGGTAAACAAAATTGGTGTTTTAAGGGTATTCGCTGTTCAGTTGATCGATTATCACACACACACACACACACCAACGAGATCCAGGGGTGGTATGGTGCTGCGTTGACAGACGGGGCACGCTCTCCTGTGAAATGGCACCATATGCAACAAATATCGTCAGCTTCATGACAAAGGAAAGTCAAAAATAAATCTATATCTTTGTCTTTAACTATTGAAATTGAGGACAAAACTTATTATTATGGCATTCAAGACTACAAACTTCAAATAGACAACAACAAAAAACCACTGATAAATTTGAAAATAAATATTGATGACAATTAAGAAATACGGTCATGAAGCTATCAACTCTTTTTTACAAACAACTCTTGATATAGTTGTAACAGATGTCATATTAATGACAGTTCTAATGGTTTAAATTTGTGTAGAAATACGGGTAATATCGGTCTTAAATTGTTAAGGTGATTATTTTGGATTTCTGGACATTTATATTTAATTTTCAGTTCGATAAATGTGAAAATTTACCGCTTCAACTTCTTCCCTCTTGTGGCGTTAAGCTTAGTAAGCTTTGCATATCATGGTCTTATAGGGTTTCTTTATACACCGTACATAATCACTGTCAGGGTATAATAGCTATGATTAATAAAGTCTGGTGATTGGCAAATACAACAATACACTATATAGCTTATAGGTATATGTGTGCTGTGTGTGTCTATCCCGCCGTATACTGATTAGCTGTGACGGGAAGATATATACATACCAGTATACATATATAAATATAAGTAATCACATTTCTGTAGCATGTACAGCTTGGTCAACTAAACATTCACATACATTTTCTGTTATTTGGATACATATTTTTTTTTTTTTTTAAAGTATATGTTCTGTTTAAGATATCATAAATTAGACAAAACTCATAAAAATATTTATTTTATGTGTCAAAGAAAAAAGAGGCACACCGGTCGTTTAATTTCATGTTGTGTATACAACCTAACGTTTTGGACGTTATTCTCGCTGATTGGGACCTGACAACGGGTACTTCCGGTTGACTATTCGGGTACAGGGATTAGTATCGATTTCTCCGTCTCGCCACATAAACCCGACTGATAAGTTTTGTCGCGTTAAATATTTTATGAGCAAAGCTGACGATGTAAACTACAAACAGATCACCTGGATCTCAACACATGTGTGTATGTGGTAATATATCAGGTATTTAATTCCGTGACTGACTTCCAATCTGATGTGATTATCCGTTTAAAATCCAGTTCAAACATTGGACACGGTAAAAAAAAAGTCAGAAGTAGCATATAGTGATTCATTTCGACGTCTACACACGAAGTGTTAGTTATTGTAAACTTTACATAATTCAACATGGCGGCCGGAAAGGTTGACAACAATCAAACCTCGGATACTGGCAGTAACGTCGATATGCCTGCTGTACATGGCCTTATCAAAAACGCCCGTGTACCCGAACAATGGACTCTACCGCACGAGTGGAACATGGAGAAGAGAGAAATGTTCGAGGTGAGTATTCCATGAATGGATACCCTGTGTTATCTTTCTATAATGGTTTGATCAGATCGCCATGGCGATGAGCGCATTTGACCTTGTGGTGAATTAACGAAATATACACTTTTTACATTGAAAAGTACAACCAGTTTTCTGTTTAAGCTTCATGTAACATCTTTAAACTAGCCGACAAGTGATACATTCATGAAACTAATGTTGTATGATGTTTCATTGTTTGTATTAAAATCACACCGGAATATATTTCACATGGCAAACAATTGTATGTTCGGGGGGAAAATAGGACTGCCGTATCCCAGCACGCGATGGTAAGAGGCGACTTTTGTGGAAGTCCCTGTACAATCGGGGTGGTTTCTTCCTGGAACCAAGAATAGACCTTCTACATCCCATTGCATGCGTATCATAAAGGCAACTTACGTGGGCCCCCTGCAGAATCAATGGGTTTTTTTATCCGTTTCTTCTACGAAGGGGACATGGAAGAAACCAAATTGATCTGCTGCCCCATTGCAACACTTGGGTTCTTTTTCGTTTCCTATCTTTCCTATCTTCTTCCTTTCCTTCCCACTTTCTCTTTCTGAAAGTGTCTCCCTGACCTCAAATTACCCTGGTTGTTGCAAAGACGTCACACTCCTAACAAACAAAAACGCCTTTCATCTTGCTCAATCGTTATTGATCCTAAATCTGTACCATCCTACTCTAATACGTTCACTATCTACTAAACATGTTTATAGTTCACTTAACATATACATAGTTCACTTAACATATACATAGTTCACTTAACATATACAAAGTTCACTTAACATATACATAGTTTACTTAACATATACATAGTTTACTTAACATATACATAGTTCACTTAACATATACATAGTTCACTTAACATATACATAGGTCACTTAACATATACATAGTTTACTTAACATATACATAGTTTACTTAACATATACATAGCTTACTTAACATATACCTAGTTCACTTAACATATACCTAGTTCACTTAACATGTACATAGTTCACTTAACATATACATAGTTCACTTAACATATACATAGCTTACTTAACATATACATAGTTCACTTAACATATACATAAGTCACTTAACATATACAAAGTTCACTTAACATATACATAGTTCACTTAACATATACATAGTTCACTTAACATATACATAGTTCACTTAACATATACATAGTTCACTTAACATATACATAGTTCACTTAACATATACATAGTTCACTTAACATATACATAGTTCACTTAACATATACATAGTTCACTTAACATATACATAGTTCACTTAACATATACATAGTTCACTTAACATATACATAGTTCACTTAACATATACATAGTTCACTTAACATATACATAGTTCACTTAACATATACATAGTTCACTTAACATATACATAGTTCACTTAACATATACATAGTTCACTTAACATATACATAGTTCACTTAACATATACATAGTTCACTTAACATATACATAGTTCACTTAACATATACATAGTTCACTTAACATATACATAGTTCACTTAACATATACATAGTTCACTTAACATATACATAGTTCACTTAACATATACATAGTTCACTTAACATATACATAGTTCACTTAACATATACATAGTTCACTTAACATATACATAGTTCACTTAACATATACATAGTTCACTTAACATATACATAGTTCACTTAACATATACATAGTTCACTTAACATATACATAGTTCACTTAACATATACATAGTTCACTTAACATATACATAGTTCACTTAACATATACATAGTTCACTTAACATATACATAGTTCACTTAACATATACATAGTTCACTTAACATATACATAGTTCACTTAACATATACATAGTTCACTTAACATATACATAGTTCACTTAACATATACATAGTTCACTTAACATATACATAGTTCACTTAACATATACATAGTTCACTTAACATATACATAGTTCACTTAACATATACATAGTTCACTTAACATATACATAGTTCACTTAACATATACATAGTTCACTTAACATATACATAGTTCACTTAACATATACATAGTTCACTTAACATATACATAGTTCACTTAACATATACATAGTTCACTTAACATATACATAGTTCACTTAACATATACATAGTTCACTTAACATATACATAGTTCACTTAACATATACATAGTTCACTTAACATATACATAGTTCACTTAACATATACATAGTTCACTTAACATATACATAGTTCACTTAACATATACATAGTTCACTTAACATATACATAGTTCACTTAACATATACATAGTTCACTTAACATATACATAGTTCACTTAACATATACATAGTTCACTTAACATATACATAGTTCACTTAACATATACATAGTTCACTTAACATATACATAGTTCACTTAACATATACATAGTTCACTTAACATATACATAGTTCACTTAACATATACATAGTTCACTTAACATATACATAGTTCACTTAACATATACATAGTTCACTTAACATATACATAGTTCACTTAACATATACATAGTTCACTTAACATATACATAGTTCACTTAACATATACATAGTTCACTTAACATATACATAGTTCACTTAACATATACATAGTTCACTTAACATATACATAGTTCACTTAACATATACATAGTTCACTTAACATATACATAGTTCACTTAACATATACATAGTTCACTTAACATATACATAGTTCACTTAACATATACATAGTTCACTTAACATATACATAGTTCACTTAACATATACATAGTTCACTTAACATATACATAGTTCACTTAACATATACATAGTTCACTTAACATATACATAGTTCACTTAACATATACATAGTTCACTTAACATATACATAGTTCACTTAACATATACATAGTTCACTTAACATATACATAGTTCACTTAACATATACATAGTTCACTTAACATATACATAGTTCACTTAACATATACATAGTTCACTTAACATATACATAGTTCACTTAACATATACATAGTTCACTTAACATATACATAGTTCACTTAACATATACATAGTTCACTTAACATATACATAGTTCACTTAACATATACATAGTTCACTTAACATATACATAGTTCACTTAACATATACATAGTTCACTTAACATATACATAGTTCACTTAACATATACATAGTTCACTTAACATATACATAGTTCACTTAACATATACATAGTTTACTTAACATATACATAGCTTACTTAACATATACATAGTTCACTTAACATATACATAGTTCGCTTAACATGTACCTAGTTCTTTAAACATGTTTCTACCACAAAGGGTGGGTGTTATGCAACTCCCAAAACATCAGTTAATCATTACAACTGTTGCATAACATATTGTTTATACCACACGTGGTATAAACTCTAAACGCGTTTTGATTGGCTGACACGGTGAACTTTGACCGGGACTCCTTTGAATGGACAATTTGGCGGGAAAGCCGCTTCATGCGGTGGCAGATATGATGATACACAGAAATAGTTCGTCTTTGTTTTTGTGATAATAAATTTCTTATGTTGTTTTCTATAAATTTATTGCTTTGAAGACAATAAATTTGTTACGTACTTGTTATGATTTGTAATAAATCATAATATTTCCACATATTCCTGAAATTGTAATTTTTGCATATTTTAAAATTAGCGGCATTTTACTACAGGTCATATCCTTACGCCCCATCTGATATCGTAAACAAAACACATATGCATACCGAACATGTCAATTTCCTCGGAATATTTTTTATTGTGGTAGAAACAGGTCACACAAACTCGTGGTTGTTGTATATGGTATTTCACTCTCGTTAGTTATTTTTCAAAAGTTACAAAAAAACTCACTAAAGCTCGTGTTTTTTGTAACTTTTGAAAAATAACTAACTCGAGTAAAAGAAATACCATATACAACAACCACTCGTTGTGTAACCTCTATTTATAGTTCACTTAACAAATATGAGTTCACTAGTTCATTAAACAAATATGAGTTCATTAAACATGTTTATAGTCACTAAACAAATTTATAGTTAACTAAACATGTACCTATTTCACTAAACATAAAAACTAGTTCCTTAAACATTTTTCAGTTCACTTAACAAATATTAGTTCACTTAACATATCTATAGTTCACTTAACATAAATATTGTTCACTTATCATGTATATAGTAAATTAAACATGTCTATAGTTCACCAAACATATTTATAGTTCACTAAGTTTGTACATAGTTCACAAAACATACATGTATGTAGTGTTAGCTTTAACGCTACAAGTTTATGATGCCAGTAAACTATACATTTACAAAGAAGATTCTATATCTTAAAATGACACAGTACGTGTTATAAAAGTTAACAGCTTTCTATGTACTGTTCACTAAACACGTCTATATAGTTCTCTATGAATGTTTACTTGTCACTGAACACGTGTATATAGTTCTCTATAAATGTTTACTGTTCACTGAACACGTGTATATAGTTCTCTATAAATGTTTACTGTTCACTGAACACGTGTATATAGTTTTCTATAAATGTTTACTGTGCACTGAACACGTGTATATAGTTCTCTATAAATGTTCACTGTTCAATGAATACGTGTATATAGTTCTCTATCAATGTTTACTGTTCACTGAACACGTGTATAAAGTTCTCTATAAATGTTCACTGTTCACTGAACACGTGTATATAGTTCTCTTTAAATGTTTACTGTTCACTGAACACGCGTATATAGTTCTCTATAAATGTTTACTGTTCACTGAACACGTGTATATAGTTCTCTATAAGTGTTTACTGTTCACTGAACACGTGTATATTGTTCTCTACAAATGTTTACTGTTCACTGAAAACGTGTTTATAGTTCTCTATAAATGTTTACTGTTCACTGAACACGTGTATATAGTTCTCTATAAATCGTCATACAATATACCAACAGATCAACGTAACACACACAGATGATTGT